AGTTAGAAATCATATAAAAACACGATAAATGAGGAAAAAGAGAAAATGTTTTAACAAAATTAACTCACAGAGCAAAGTCCACCGTATCGAATGAGGTTCATCAAGGTGTGAATATGGCTTTCACTAGTGAAATACAGGCGAGTGCGAACATGACGTAGCGGAGTTGCTATACCCTGCGACGCTCTAAAAGAAAAGAACATTCCAGGGGATTGCAAGAAATAGTAAAATTTGAAAATGACAAAGTGCACTACTGTTGGCCTACACTAAGCGAGATCATAATCCTCTTAATTCCTAAAAATAAAAAAAAAAAACTGGTCCACTTAACTTGGATCTAGCCTTGTTTGACTTTCGTCCTCCTCTGAGCTCTCGATACATCGATGCAAATCATTTCTGATCTTTTTTAATAGAGGTGTGCAAACCCGTTGTGCAACACAAATCTTGTTCTCCTTACGAATTCCATACTCCTGAACTCCTCCCAAATAACAAAGGAAGATGCGCAATAGTGCAGAAGTTCACTGCAAACCTGCGGCACAACTATGTCAGCCATGTTCTTCACACACAAGTACATTCGTTCGAATTCACCCTCATTGTCAATACAGAGATCAGGATTATGCTCCATATCGTACTAAAAACAAGCAAATAAAAGTTCAGTAAAAAGTACTTACGTAGAGAGATACAAGTCAAGATGGAAGTAATAAAGATTTATTTACTCACTTTTATGTTATCATAGATGTCAGGTATCTTTGATATGTCATACTCTACATCGCCTCCCTTGTTTTCACGTCTAAATTCACGCAACTCTTTGCCCCATCTTCGTTCCGCAAGGTCCCAAGTTTCATTTAGGTAGAGAGTACGATCTGGAAAAAGAAATCTCTTCTTGCTGTGAAATGGTAAGGAAGTATTAACAGTGCTATGTATGAAGTACAAGAAACAGCTTCTCCAAAAGTGAAGCACAAAAAGTCCAAAAAAACTTACTGGGCCTGCTATATTTGTTGTGATTGATAATGTCGCACATTCGTTGTACATATCCCGCAATCTCATGGCACATCTTTTTCGGATTTTTAATGAACTCCATAGCGCTATTGATCGATTTCAAACCATCCGGGTTTAACGCTTTATAGTCTTCTGGAGTCCATTCGCGATCCACCTAGATTTTGTAA